AGACAGGGTCTCACATAGCCATGCTGACCTCAAAGTCGGCTTGTAGCTGAGGATGGCCTCTGCCATCACTTCCTGAGAGATGGGACACAAGCCTGGTCTCTGGTGCTGGGACTGGAACTCAGGACATCAACGTCTAAGCAAACAGTCAGCCCCTGAGCACCTTCCCACCATTCCTCACATCTCTCTCTCTCAGTTCCTGTCTGCCTGCTGCTTGTCCTCCTCTTCTCTTCCTTCCCACCTCATGAGCACGCAGGCTTCAGCTCAGACCCCAGACAGACCACTCTTCTCTCCTGGGAAGCGAGAAGAGAAGGCTTGGACTGAAGGTTTGGGGGGGGGGTGCGCGCGCGCGCACACACACACACACACGCGCACACACACATGAGTGCAGGCCTGTGAAGGCCAGAGGCATCAGTTGCCCTAGGGCTAGAGTCATCGGTGGTAAGAACCGACTGATGTGGGTGCTGGAAACCAAACTCACAGACCTTGGCAAGAGCTTCATAGGTGCTGAGCCATCTCTCCAGCCTTCAATGTTTATAATAAAACAAGTCTTCATTGTTTGTGATGAGCTCAGTCGGAGGGTAGTGAGGCAAGCAGAGAATTGGCTGTTTGGGAGGCCAGTTCACCTTCCTACGTGTTGTGGTCACATCTACACGAATGTAAACACGAGAATGGGTCGTGCAGTCACTGGCTGAGCACACAGGTGCTCTTAGGCCTTTGCAACTGGTTCCTGGGGGGATTTAGGAGACTTAGGGGAGGAGACTGGGAACAGATTGTGGTGGTGCTCAGACCAGAACATCAGTAGAAACATGGGTAGCATCAGCCAAGCACACAAACTTCAGAAGGGGATTGGACAGGAGACCATTTTTGCTGTGTTCTTGCAAAGGGTGTCTGCATTTTGTCACTGTCCTGAGCCTTTGGGGCTGGACTTAAAAGTATTGAATTAATACACAAGGCAGAGGAAGAGCATTCGGGTGCAGCATGAGTGGTACTGACTGCTTTTAGCGAGGTTTACGCTGAGAGTGAAAAAAACAACAGTTTTGGGTTTTGTTTTGTTTCTGTCAAATTTGGATTGAGAAGGGGCACATTTAAAGTTGGTGGTAGGCGTTGTTAAAGATAGTGACATTAAAATGGAATCAAGAGCCAGTGGCTCGTCACCATGCCTGATGACCCCACCCACATGGTGGCAGAAGAGCACACACACACTTAAAGGAAGAAGGAAGCCAAGCAGTGTGCACTGAGGCAGTGATAAAGATGCTGTGACATCTCAGGATGCCACAGACTGCAGCTCCAGACTCTAAGACTCTAGCTTATTTGAGAAATGCAGCTCTGTGCTAACATGGTGGTGCACACCTTTAATCCCAGCACTCGGGAGGCAGAGTCGGGTGGAGCTCTGTGAGTTTGAGGCTACTCTAGTCTACCTAGCAAGTTCCAGAACAGCCAGGGCTATGCAGAGAGACCCTGTCTCAAAACAACAACAACAACAACAAAAAACCCCACAACTAACTAAAACAAAAATGAGGCTCGTGCAGAGCTCTCCAGTGTGTCTGTCTCACAAAGAGCTGCCCAGGCATTCAGAAGCTGTTGTAGCCATGGTTGGGGTAGGGGCTCAGCAGACCTTAGCACCAGCACCACATTGGCATTCAGAATTTAAAAAGCTAGGAAGTCATTGAGCCGTTCACCTAGATTGTAAAGGAAGCCTCTGGTGCAGGGCAGTGTGTGCTAGGTTAGGTTCCCGTTGGGCAGCGCTGAGGGCTGCAGGTGCAGCTGTGTGGCTGAAGACCGGGGATGTTAGAGGAGCTACTTCAGTGGGGTGTCTGTTGAGGAAAACTGGGGGGATAAATAGAGTCATCTCAGAAGAGACCATGTGCTACAAACGGCAAGACTCCAGGACTGGGGCTCACCGGCCCTGTGAACACAGAACTGTGGAGTCCAATATTTACTCTGATAGGTTTGGGGTTTGCTTTAGCCTGGTCCCTTTTTGCTATTCACCCATTGGTCCTGTACGGAATAGAAGTTTACTTTGAGCTGTTGCATGTTGGGAGTTTATGACCTTCTGCTTTCTGCAAGGGCTGATAGCTAGTCTGAGTATCTCAGGAAGCTTAACTTTTGGCATTTGAACCTTGTTAGCACTCTTAAAGCTTTGGGATTCTTGGAGGTGGACTGCATAGCTCGCATGATGAAATGAACACGAGTCTGCTGTGATAGAGGAGGTGCTGCTGTTTAGAGCAACATGTTTGGATGTCAAGTTTACAAGAGTGGACACTTGCCTGTGTTGACTTAGGATCTGTCAGTGTCTTTCCTTGTCAGTGCACTCATGTCCAGTAGCCATCTCTTGAGCACCAAGATCTAAGGTCTGTCATTGGTCATGGAAACTGAGGCATAGCTCCAGATGTGTGTGCATGTTCCACAGCATTCTGGGGACCCCAGCTTTGTGCATTTTAGAGACACCGGCCGCTTGGTGGAGCTGATGCAGCTAGCTGGCTTTTAGTAAAATACAGCTTGAGGTTTGTCGGGCCCTTCCATTCTACTCTTGGATTTTCAGACAGGGTTTCTCTATGTAGCCCTGGCTGTTTTAGAACTCACTCTGTAGACCAGGCTAGCCTCAAACTCAGAGATCTACCTGCCTCTGCTTCCCAAGTGCTTGGATGAAAGGTGTGCGCCACCACCTAGCAAGTTCTAGATTTTACACCAACTCTTCTTTTCCCTGCTCATGGCCCCTCCCACACTAATCTTTCTAGAGACCAGTGAGATGCTCCATGACTCCCTGTACACACAGAGATTGTCCTGCCTCCCTGCTGCTCACCATGATCTGAAATTTCTGTCCTCCTACTTCTCCCTTGATCTGGCCAACCAAGTTAGAAATGCAGTCTAGCTTGCCCTCAGAAACCCCTGCGCAGGGTCTGGACCCATTTCCTGCTGTGTGTCTGGGACTCCCAGCTCCCTGTGACTCTGTGCCCTAACTGGCCAGATAGAGGCAGTAGTGCACCTGTCTGTTGAGGCTGCTGTGGGGGGGGGGTGATGGCTCCCAATCGGTCTGTGTCTGTTGAAAGGAGTCTGTGGGGACCGACCCCATGTGCACACACACACACTGATGATGATAAAATTTAAATAGAAATAAGTAAATAGGGCTGGCAGGATGGCCCATTGTGTTAAGGCACTTGTCACCAAGACTAATGACCTTCATTCAATTTCTAGTTTCCACAAAGTGGGAAGAGAAAACTTAACTCCCAAAAGTTGTCTTCTGATCTTTACGGTCATGCTGAGTCACACATGTGCATAGACATTCACACAAGTTCACGCACGCACGCATGCACACACGCACACACGCACACACGCACACACGCACACACGCACACATGCACGCCCCTAAATAAACAACACTTGTCATGATAGAGAGGCAGGCTCCTCTGGCTCTACACCCAGGAAGTGGATTGCCAGATCTCGGTGTAAGAGATCAGGATCAGCTCAGGACCCCCAAGACCACGTTCTCAGCACCAAGGAGATACTTTTGCTCCACAGGGACAGAAGGCAGGGAACAAGAGACAGACGAGAGGACAGGAAGGAGGAGAAGGGAACCAGGGAGAGAGGAGGAAGAGTACTTGTTCTAGAGGACAGAGGACTGCCTCTGGCTGGAAAGGAGAGAGCTGAGGCCTGTAGACAAATGGAGCTGTATGGATGTGGAGGGAAACCCGTATTAGAATTAGGGGCTTCAGTTTAATTGGCTTGTTAAGTAGGTGAGCCAAATGGGGCTTCTGATTGCTAGAGTTCAGTACTTTGATAGTTGCACCTTGGTAGTCAGCCTCAGAAGAAGGAAGTGGCCACATAAGGGCCTAGGCCTTGGTGGCCAGCTTTAGGAAGGTAGTCTAACAGTATTTAGCAAGGCAGAGGGATGGGGAGATGGAGAGGCTGCAGAGCTATGTTTATGCTGTTGGGGTGGCTACAGTCCCTTGAGTGGGGTGGTTGTGTTTCCAGTGTTGAGAACCCGCTGTCCTGTTTTTCGTCATGGGCCTTACGTTCTCACATACGGTATTTTTAATGACTGTGTGTTAAACAGTTCTGCAGTATGGCATTTGCTGTCTGTGCCATCGCATCTGTGCTCAGAGAGTTTAGCTCTTGGAGCATTTCACATTTCAGAGTTTTGGTTGGGAAACAATCTCTCTCAAAGAGAAGCCCTGTGCCCCCATTCCCCCTCTGATCTACCGTGTCTAGGGACCCTTGAGTGTCCCAACTCGCCACACCTTGCTGACCTTCATCAGCAGGCTGGCATTTGTGTTGTTTCTTGTCTCTGGCTCTTGTGAATGAGACTGCTGATCTGCTGATGAAACTGGGAGCCTGTTTCTCTGAGCGTCTCTGTCCCTGGGGGGGTAGGGGGGAGCGGTTGAATCAAGTTCCAGCCATTGCCCAGAAATTGCCCCCTTCTCAGTCCCCTTTAGGAAAGACTGAGGGATGTGCGACAGTGGTGGGATACCTTTAACCCCAACACTTGCGAGGCAGAGGCAGAAAGGGAGGGAGGGAGGGAGGGATGGAGGGAGGGAGGGAGGGAGGGAGGAAGGAAGGAAGGAAGGAAGGAAGGAAAGACTCATGATTCTGAACTGCCCTTGCTCTGAATTATCTGACTTTGTCATTATTGTTTTGAGATAGGTTCTTGCTATGTAGCCCAGGATGGCCTGTGAGTATATGGGTCACAGAAGTGTGCCACCATTTCTAAGCAGCTGATATTTTGACTGATGTCCTCCCAGGGGACATTGTCATGAACTTTTCCTGGCAGAGAGAGGTTTGTGGAAAACTAGAAAGGGGCTGTCACTTTGTCAGTTGCCTAGAATGTCACCTGACACCATTGTCAGATACTCCTGAGGAATTCTGCTTTAAAATGAGAGTCATGATCTGTCACATCCCTGCCACATCCGGCCTGCTGCTGACTGGAGCCCCAGCCGTGTGGATGGAGGACTGGTGTCCAGGGTGTGGAGTGTCTCACCAGCTCTGTGCCCCTTCCTCTGCAGGTGTCACCATGAAGCTGATGGATGAAGTGGCTGGGATTGTGGCTGCACGCCACTGCAAGACCAACATAGTAACTGCCTCTGTGGACGCCATTAATTTCCATGACAAAATACGGAAAGGTAAGCTCTTGCCCTGTAAAAATGATGGGGGCAGCTCTTTGGGGTTCCTGGCCCCTTCACCCCGTGCTCACACCTGCTGTCTGCCTGTGTCCCACAAAAGCAGGAGGACAGAGCTGTGCTTTGTCCTTCACACACCGGCGAGGCTGGTGCTTATTGATCTGACTGGGATGATGGAGGCTTCTGTCCCTGCACTCTGGCATTAGCTCATCCTCTGAAGACAGGGCAGCTCTGTGATGCTCTCACTTGGACAGCTGTCACCAAGCCTTGTAGGTTTCCTGCTTGTGGAATAGGAGGTGACTCAAGGCAGGATACACAGACAGTGATGGCAGGATCGAGGGAGGTGCCTCGGGCACTCTGGCCTCAGCCAACCCCGCTCACCTTGCTTAAGGGCGGCTTGGGAATCCTCATGTGACAGGAATGTGATCTGTGACTGGGCCCCGGCAGCTTGTAGAGCAAGTCCATCAGGGTCGCAGCCTTGTGAGCTGCAGGCACAGGCTGAGTCTGAAAGGAGACGTCAGGACGCTGCACCATGAGAGCCGCTCATGGGAGGGCAGTGGGTGAGGCTGGGCCCTAGCATGGCTGATTACAGCCTAGGAGCCATAAAGCTTAAGCCTTGTCCAGAGCCTTGTGGCCCTGGGTGCTCCCCAGCACCTGGCAGGGGGCTGCTTTATGGTCAGCAGAAGCATTCTGAGGTTGGAGAGACGCAGGGCTGTCCCGTAAGGATGCGCAGCAGTGACAGGGCACCCTCCACTTCCAAGAGTTCATCTTACTGCTGGTATTTGCCACAAACACAGACAGCTAGCGTTATTTTAACAGTTGCCCGTGACAGGTGGACCTCGTCTGCTTTAGCGTGCTTCTGGAGGCCGTGTGTATCGGTAGCCCTGCGTGCTAGGCTGCTTGTAGCTCGTGCCGTGAGCCTTTGAGGAGGGGAGCGTGTAGAAGTTACGTCTGGTTCTTCCTGCCAGCATCATGTTCCCAGAAATAAGACCCGGACTCAAAATACATTTACAAATGCTTCAGCCACACTAAGCTCTTCTCTGGCTAGAGTGTAACCCAATTATTTAACCTACAGTCTGCCACATGGTTGGTTACCTGTGCTCAGGTACCATTCATCAGTCTGGTAATCTTCCCACGGCTGGCTCTATCCCCAGAATCCTCTCTGCCTCCCGGATGTCCCACCTTCCATTCTACCCTTCCCTACAGGCCATAGGTTTTGTAATTGAAGGGTGAGGCATCCATACAATACACAAGATTTTGTGAGTGCTGGGTGTCAGGTTTCATGCTTCCCTTTTTCTTGAGTTCCCACCTGGTAAGGTGGCTTAGCACTTTATTGTTAAATATAAACTCAGACCCACCATGGAGAGCAGGCCCTACACCTCAGACTGGTCCTGCTCAGTCCTCACTCAGTGACCTAGGACCCTTTGCTCGGGTCCTAGACAGCAGCGTTTCCTCCATGCCCACACAGTGGTAGCTATATCAGTGAGGACTCGAGTCAGAGTCCTTAAAGCATCTCAGTCCTGTTCTCAGAATGAAGACATGGGGAAAAGGCCCCCAGGCCCTTAACCTGAGCCCCAGCATGGCCTGCAGCTGCTTGCAAAGGGCTGCTGAAGAGACAACAGTGGCTCTGGATTAGAGGAGCTCCTTCATTTAAGGGTCACAGCAGATAAGAGCCAGTCAGCTTCTCTAGAGTCCTTTCTGCCACCAGAGACTGTGGAGCTTTGAGGACAGACTGACTCCTGAAGGAGCATTCATCTGCAGCACTTCCAAAGGTCCGTGCCTTCTGGTCCGATACTTTGCTCTACACTGCCCCTCTCCCCAGGTTGGGGGTGGGGTTGGGTATCTGTTACACAGAACCTCCTAGCTGGCCTGGTCTCTGTAGCTGATCTTGGTGGTGCACGTCTTTAATCCCAGCACTCAGCAGTTCAAGACTAGTCAGGGTTACATAGTGAGACCCTGTCTGTAAAAAGGTAAAATCTGTGATGTGAGCCCCTCCTCTTGTTCTTTTACTCCACGGCCTTCTGGGTAGAGACTTCTGAAGGAGACATTTGGCTCCTCCCAGGAAGCAGCAGGTTACTCCAAATGATGATGTCTTGTTTGGGGTTTGAAGGAATTGAGGTAGTCCTGAAATAGCGCTTATAGAGTCTGGCCTATTTCTGTGTCAGTCTCCTCTGGCTTTGACACACTGTGGCCTTGCTTGTTGTTTCTACAGAGATGTCTCCTGTGAGGTCCCCGTGTGTTGTCCTTTTACAGAGTGTGTCCTGGAGTCCCTCCTCACATGTCCCCGGCTGTGTCATCACCACAGACGGGGTTGTCACAGCCCATCTTTGGTTGATTTACCACCTTAGACCAGAGACACAAGGTTGACAAGTCCCTCCTGCTCTGGGTTTGCGGTGACACAGTCCAAGTCATATCAGCTGTGAGAAAGGAGGAGCCAAGGACCCAGGACTGATGACTGCCAAGGTCACCTTAACCCTGGGGCTTTGATGCCTCTTGAACCACTGTCCCTGTGACTTTGCTTCACTTCCCACCTCAGCTCTGCCATGGAGGAGGCCACAGGGGACAGTTTTGCCACCTCTTCAGAGAAGGTGTGACATGCTTCAGTGGGTACAGGGTACAGGGATGAGGCGGCAGCCAAAGAGCTCAGGGAACATCGCCTGGAAGATGGACTTGGCACACGTGGGCTTGTGTTGTTCAAAACGGTGTTAGCTCCCTGGGGCTGCTGTGTCAGATGCCTATAGACTGAGATGCTTAAAATGGCAGAAATGAATTCTCTCCTGGTTTGGCCAGCTAATATCTGAATCTCAGATATTATGAGAGCCTCATAGGCTCTGAGAATCCATCCTGCCTCCTCTGGTTCCCTGTGTCATGAGCCACAGGCCATCTTTTGGGTCTGTGTCTTAGAAGGAGATTTCTTTGTCATTCAGTAGGATGCCCCCCCAGAGAAATTATGCCAACAGCTATACATGGTCACAGGCCTGTCCCCAGAAAGTCCGGAAATAACATACGAGCTTTAGCAGAGCAACTTGTGCTAAGGTACAGTCAGCTGCACCCAGGTATATGGGCATAGGCCCAGTGTGCACAGCCAAGCTTTCCATGTGGGCCACTGCTTGCCCTGCCCTTGCAGAACAGCTGATTTGCTGTTTACAAACTTGGTTCTTTGAGGCTAACTCTTCACTTGTGCCGAGAGCAAAGAGGACACGCTCCATCCCACCTGCGGCTCACAGCTTCCATGGCAACCTGCAGCACTCTATGCCCAGCCTGCTCAGCCTAGGATCCTGGTACACTGAGGAAGGTTGCCCTCATGCACACTAAGGCGTAGGTTAGTTAACATGTCTGCTGACTTCATCTACACACTAGGTCGTGTCCAGTCCTGTGTCACTGACCCCTTGCCTGGTAAGAAGTAAGGAGGACAGAGGCCCAGCTCCTTGAGATCAGCAAAAGCATCACAGGCTCTCAGTGCCAGCACCTGGCATGCTGGGGACAGTGGGAGCCACGAGCTGGGGCAGGCTGAGAGTGACAAGGATCCCGGACAGCACACAGCATGGAGAGCCTGAGGTGGACAGTAATGCTGTCCCTCAGTGCAAAGGAGAAACCTCGACCACATGAACAGAATGTGTGCAGGGCTGACTTTCTCCATCCTCCTCCTCGGTTGAGACATTCAATTCCAAGCAATTTCCTTGAGGAGATGGTCTTTGTAAGTTCTAGTTAGGAAACCACATGTGCAGTCTTCTTGTGATGACCAGCTCCCAGAGATGATGGTGGAAGCAGGGACAATCTAAGAGGCTGCAGTGCCGCGCAAGCGTCCATCGCTGCTCTGCGCATTCTTAGACAGTTCTCTGCCCTGGCTCTCTGCTGTGCAAAACGTGGAGCTGTTCATAAACTTTGGAGTACCTGGTAACAGCTACTTTTTCTTTTTATTAGTTTGTTTTCTTTTTCAAATCCCTGTCATGCTGCTATAATCTAGCTGCTGCATCCTGGGGAATATAACACTGTGTGTGGGGAGTCAGCTGGGCAAGCTGCCAGCCTTGCAGGGCACACCTTCAGGCTGGCTGGCTTCGAAGCAGGCAGTTCACAACTCAGCCACTTGACACATTTACCTTGGACATTGCTGACGTCAGCACCAGGCGCTGTGCTGAGGCCCTGCCTTCTGCAGCCTGTTACCTCAGTGTTCAGTCTGCAAACTGCTTGAGAGGGTGACCTGCCCACAGCCACTGGGGCTCAGGTGTTTCCTGGAGACCCCTGATAGGACACAAGGTATCTGGGGCACAGAACAGCAGCTACAGGGTGAGGGGGATGACATACGGTCTTCACAGGCCAAAAGCAACACCACGTACCTTTGATGTTCACTTTGGATGAGTGTGACTACAGTTGCTTCTTACTTTAGAACTTACATTCTTCTGACACTGCGTGCAGGGAGCGGTGTACCCCGAGAAAGGTGCTGCTCCAAGTTGCCCTCGTCAGCCTTTGTGTAGTGCCCCTTTCCTGCTGAGTTTGGAGAGAGTGGGGTGGATAGTCGAGTCTTCTGCCTGGAGCACTTCCCTGCATTCTATTCTGTTGGCCTTATTAGAAACAAGATAGAAATGCTGGGTGGCAGTGGTGGTGGTGGTGGTGGCGGTGGCAGTGACGGTGGCAGTGACGGTTGCTGCGGCTGCGCACACCTTTGATCCCAGCACCCCAGGCCAGCCTGGCCAGAGCCAGTTCCAGGACAGCCAGGGCTGCACAGAGAACTCCCCAAACCCCTGTCATTCTGGGGTGGCCTCACTATGTTGAGGAGGACACACAGGGACTGTAAGCACACCCAGCTTTAGTTTTCATTTAATTACACTCTGAATTGTCCTGCGTGGACCGAGACTGTTTTAATTACACTCTGAATTGTCCTGCGTGGACTGAGACTGTTTTAATTACACTCTGAATTGTCCTGCGTGGACCGAGGCTGTTT